GTGCTGTTGAGTTATTGCACGTAAATAAACATGAATTGAATTGAATTGAATTGAATTATTATTATTATTATTATTATTATTATTATAGCTCTACAGCCCTTTGGGCCTTGGCCGCTTTTTTTCCGTTTCTCCATCCTATACACAGTTGATAGGACTCCTTGGACGGGAAATCAGCCAGTCGCAAGGCCACTACCTACACACAGAACAACACAAACACAAGATAAACGCACACAATACAGACATTCATGTCTTGAGTGGAATTCGAACCCACGATCCCAGTGTTCGAGCTAGCCAAGACCGCGCGGCCACTGTGATCGGCACCTACACTTTTACATTGCTTAATTAAACCTTCTTTGACCATATTAATTAATTTGCTTTTTTCATGTGTTACACTGATATTTTATGCAGAATTGGAAATCATTAGATACGCTGTATTCGGAATGGTAGAAGTGAAGTGTTAGTCTTAGTCGACCGGCATTTGGCTTGGGGGGATTGACTGAGGAGGAAAGTCAGAAGACTTCCATCAGAGTGACCGAATTTCAAAACACGTACCCCTTTCCGAGGATACAGTTGAGCTCTTCTCAATTCTTGAATGACATGTTTGAGGAGTCTGAGTAGTAAGCCTCAAAATTAATCACGCAGAATGAATTTCTTACATGCAGGTGGACGGATAATTACAATAACGTCCCTGGCTTGTGTTTCTGTAAAACATTTTATTCGTCGCTACAAACTTCGAACGTAAACGCCTGCAGAAATTTGATTAGACTATTGGCATTGCTCCTTAGTCGAAGAAGTTGCCGGTATTGTGAGGCGTAGATCACGCATTCAGCGGTGTTTAGGCTTAGAAACCGGTTCTTCCATACTTCCTTGCTCACAAGTTTTGAGCTTTATCCCTAAACTTCAAAACGTGGAAGGATAAAGGATAGAAAGACAGTATCCAGCTGGTACCATAAACCCTACCCAGTGATCCATCCACACCACACACCCTCAGGCTCCTGTGCAGTGAGTACCGGGGCTGGTGTGGCTGGAGCTTGAAGCTAATCACTCAACCCCATGCAGTCCCGAGAGTAATACCCCACAAGTCTTCATGGAGTGGTTCAGTTACTCACTGAGATGCCTACTCATAGTTTGCGCGTAATTAACCACAGTAACTATTTTGCCTATGGACCAAAAGTTTCCTGGGGATTATGCTCGGCTCTTGGGTATGTTTGCATTTAGCTTTACCGTATGGGAATACGGGTTCGGCTTAGCGCTCGGATTTTAGCAACGACCTACGAGTGCTAAGCGAAGCTCATTTGTGCTTCAGGAAAGGAAAGACAAAGGTTATACTGCAGAACAGATGTTTGTCGCACATGTGTGCGAACAAATGTTGCAGGGCAGCGAGAGACAAAGGAGCGGTAGACAGAACACCGGCCGGTTCCGGAGCCATCTGTCGGTCCGATACGACAGCGGTCAGCTGCTCGCCTTGTGTAACGTTCATTGAGTAACGTCGAAGCGAGAGGAGCGGCCAAAAGCAGGACTGCAGTGAGCAGGAGAAGTCAGTGCCACCGGAGACACGGTGAAGAGTGCGTGAGTTGCTGCTCATTGTCGCGGATGTTGTATGATAACATGTGTCCGACGATTGTGTGAGAGATTTAAAAAAATTGAAGCATTTGGACTTGGGACATCAACGGCACACGTCATTAATGTTCTTCATGGCGCGTGTGAACTTGAAGAAAAAATTGACTTCTCCTCAGTGAAATATGGCGAAATAATTCAGCTCATCTGCGTAATATTTAAAGTGTTGGTTTTAAGCTCTTAGAAAGCACATCATCTTTGTTTATTAATTAATTTAAAAACGATTAAGAATACGGTTGTTCATTTTGTGATACAAATGAGATTGAGTTAAATACTGAATTAATTATCATTTACGGCCCACGGTATAGGTACATGGTTACCGCTCCTATAAAGGGCTACAGATTGCTGCATAATCAGTTTTTATTCATAAGTAACGGGTGTTTTATCTTTGCAGAATACAAGACCAAGGTATAATAACAGACGTTCATTAACACGCTTACTATAATGTGGAGACACGTTTCTTACTCTCCTCGTACAAGTAGTTGGTGCGTCAGTTAGAGGGCAGATTGCATCAGCGGAGAAAGGCCAGAATTACCCAGACGCAAATAAATTTCTTTAGACGCGTGTGTAGAATTATTTTTCAAGAAAATTGATGATGAGAACCATATCGGAGAAACAAAGATTTTGATTACAGAATATTCTAGTTGAAATCGCCATCCAACTGGTAAATTCTTTTACCTGCATGTTTCTATGGACAATTTTAGGAAATCCATATACACACCGGTTATATGAGCGAACTGCCTCTATTGGCTGACTCATCTTTCTCTCTTCCCCTCCACTGCATTTGTATTGCTTGAGTATCCGGTTTACTATTGTGTGTAACATTTCTTTTGTTAACGACGTGGGCTGTTGCCCGTGCATGTGCGTACATGTCCGGAATAGCCATGCAGGTTCATGCCTGTTAGCTGCTTGGTTGTTGTCATACTCTGGAAAGGCAATTTCCATATTTGGCGAACTTTCGATAATTGCTCTTTATCAAGTCAGGCTCAGTGAACAGAAGCCTGACAGTAAATAATAGTAAACAGTAACGATAAGTAACAAGAAATGCATTGTTGTTTAACTAGTAACATTGACTTCCTAAGTGGAAAAATATACTAGGAGAATGATGTTAGTGTAAGTGGCAACAATAAAATGAAGAAACTATTTGTGATAAACTAGAAACAGAAGCTGTAAGAAGAACATTAATGTGCATCAACAAGTAGAAGTTGCGTTGTGATTTAACGAAAAGCTGAAAGAGAGGAGACGTTTTGTTGCCATATTGCTGCAGCTGGTGCTTTACCAGACGAGGGGCTGGCATGCGTTGCGAAGGATATATAAACAAGATGTACAACTGAGCAGATGTTCTTCCCAGTATAGGGTAGGGAGGTTCGCGAATAGGATACTATCCTATGGTAGGTAATAGTAAGAATTCGATAGGGAAGGGAACATGATAGAGAGATATGACCGATTTGTACACAACGAAATAAGGGGAACGCAAACAGAAGACGAGACGGGCAGGACTGTCACGGACAAGATATTAGCAGCTTCTGTGATTGTGGTTTCTGTTGGATCGTGCCAGAATGGTTCGTAGCCTGGCCCAGTGGACCAAGACGCTGAGCTTCCCAGCTCGCATCTCCCCACAAAAACATCAGCAGCACCAAGTAACGGCGCCAAAGAGCGAATGCCCCGTCATCAGCGCATCTACTGGCCCCAATAATACGACAGACGTAAGTAATGGCATGCAAACTGTATTCCGCGGAAACCGGCAGAAAAACATGTACAGTAAAACCGGTTGAAAGTGAAGCCCAAAGGGAGCTTCAATCTTTCCGTTTCAAACAGGTATTTACTGCTACGTAATAAACATTGCTCAATATGCAGTATAAGGCATGTATGCTGATCGAAACCACAGCACAGGAATCCATAATGCATACTACATTGATGCTGAGTACACACATCCTTTCAGTTTCTTATTGACGGTTTAGTATATATATATTTTTTTTGCGTATGTGGCAGGAATGCGCAAAGTCAGAAGTTCAGAGAAAACTGCCTGGTACATAGTTACATGAACAGAAAACATTTTCGCTCCATTGTCCCTGATCGGAGAGTATTTTCGATAAAGGCAGCTTAATGTTTAATTCCTCTTAAATGGGTTTTGTTGTGTTGAAATTATACGTTTTGCTTTCAGGCAGTTGCCAGTTCTACGTACCAATATAATACTCTCATCTACTCGTATTTCACTTCAAGGATTAGGTACTTGTTAGTAAACAACAGCCACGTCTCTTAATAACTTGCTAATTTTATAACACATGTAAAAAAAGTACGGAGCCAAGAGAAGGATTTTTAAAACTTAAAAACTCATCATTGGAAGTTAGATATGCGGGCTGTCCTAGGCACTTTTCTAGTAAAAGACAACTGGCCACTCAGGGTTTTTTTTAGGTAAGGTAAGGTAAAGTTGTCCCTGTGCTTAGCTAATTAAGCACTACTCCATGAAGGTTTATGGGGAGTGGATGTATAGATCATTTTATTGACCTCTGTACTACTTGGTCAGCTTCACGTCCCGGCCGCTTTACCCCTGGGGAAATAGCCCCCGGTACCCATTGGACATGAGGTTGAGAGGATCCCAGATGCGGTCTGGACGACGGCGGAGAAGAGATAATTCTTGACCGTGCCGGGATTCGAACTCTGAACCTTCGGTCGTGCAGCCAGTAGCCAGTCGCTATACCGACTGAGCTATCTCCCCCTAAAAAAAGTCATTGAAGGCAGCGTAGTAGTTCCGGATGCGAAACATGCATAGTGATAGAGAGGCAGGCTTGCAGGCCGTTTGCTGAGTAGTCTGCCGTTATAGCTCGGTGTAATGACTAGGCTATGGTCTGGACTACCGAGGAATCGGGGTTTGTCTGTTCCCCCTAGCGTCAAGACCGGCACTGGGGCTCCATCCAGCTTCCTATACAATCTGTACCGGAGGGTGGGGGGTAAAGCGGCAGAGGCGTGAAGCTGACCACTCCCATCCAGTGCTGAGGTTAAGAATTGTGGAACTCTACTTCCCTTTCCCTGTACGTCTTCGCGGCGTAGTGTTTAAATGAGTATGGGGACAGTATTTACAATTAGTCATGCGAGTATGAACAATAATGGGACAGATGTTCGGGGCTGTGTTTACGCGGTCCAATTCCAAACGATCGTTACGTGGCCTGCATGTTTAGCTTTCCTACTGATAAATATTATATCAGTATGAATTCATAACTGGTGCTATTAGAAGAGTATTGGTTGCGTGCTAATGTATATGTAAGTAACGCCTCTGGAAGTCGTCGGTTTTAACTTCAATTCTTCAATAACTTTTCACACAGAACAATAAACATTAATAATCAGAATCTACTAACGGTTTATTTAAAGTTTTTTTTCTAGTGGGGTGGGACTAAGTCCCTTGTACTGCGGCCACTTCTAACCTATTGTGATTGTGGAGCAATTGGTGGAATGAAGATTGGCAGGGGAAACCGAAATACTCGGAGAAAACCTGCCCCAGCGCCACTTTGTCCACCACAAATCCCACTTGACCAGACCCGGGGTCGAACCCGGGCCACAGCGGTGGGAATTCAAATGGTTAGTTTTTCTTTTAGACTGGGGGGGATCTAAAATAATTATTTTAGTGTCATCAGGGTAAGTTCAATAGCTTGAGAGTGTAATTTGGGCGGCTTCCATAGAAGTAGATTTGTGTAAGCGTGGCACGACAGCAATAACGCATTAGTTCTGTCGTGTAGCAATTCTGCGGTGTTTTCTCTGAAGGCCGGAAATGCAGAAACAACGTACAAGTCGATTTCTACTTATGCTATCTCGTGAAGTTTCACTTGTTTACGAAGCGCGATTCCTCTTTCCTGGTGACGCAGGGCGATATTACACAAGACGCGAGCTGCCATGTTGTCGGAACATAGGAGCGAACTACTGTTTTCAGTAAATTAAGCTTGTACGGAGATCGCAGCGTTGTCAGACTTCCACACAGTTGCATTGGCAACACATGTTAAAGCGGTAATTTTCAAATGCAGCTGCCAACAATAATTTCTTATGCGGATGTGGTCACAAGCTGTTTTTCATGATTGATGTATTTTTGTTGCTGGAGATCTTTTTCTAGTATCGAAAGGAATTTTCTTCATATCTTCTGTAGATTTATTGATTATTTTTACTCGGATGTTCCGATTCTGTGCTGTACGGCTGAAACCCTCGATTTCTTGAAAAACCAAGTACCACAAAAAACTGGCGGACGAAAAGCATCTTCGGTCAACTGTGGAGGGACGTCCCGTGAGCATGTTCCCATTAATGATCTGCTGTAAATTAAGGCAACCACATTAATAATCTTCTTAACGGGATTTGTTTTACATATAATCAAAAATAAAGTCATCCCTTGGCTTAATTAAGAACCACACCATGAAGATGTGGAAGTGGAGATGTAGTTCCACCATTCATGACCTCGGCACTAGATGGAGGCAAGTTGTTAGTTTCACGCCCCTGCCGCTTTACCCCTGAGGAAACAGCCCCCGGTATCCATTGAGTAGGAGGCTGGGTGGGCCCCACAGCGGGTCTGGACCCTATGAAGAAGTGACAAATTCTTATCCGTACCAGGAATCGAACCCCAACTCCTCGATCGTCTAGGACATAGTCTAGTCACTATACCAACTGAAATATTCGAACTGTTCTTTTTTTACATGTAGAATGGAATATATTTTAAGTTATATGGCCACAGAATATTTCTAACTTCTTAATGTTAGTTGTACTTGGGCCACCGGGTTAAACTATCTCATTTTTAATACAAAGTTAGACCAACATATTGATGAATAAAAGGCAAATTCAAAATTAATGTTAATTTTTATGCATAGTTCTTAAAATGGACGCAGAATGGGGAAGTCAGTCCGACTCCATATTTCATCTCCGAAAGTACTGGCATGACCTCAATGAAATTTGTTATTGAGTTCCAGACTAAAAGTTCCTGGGCAGATTTCGTTTATGTTTCGTATCGGCTTAATATTTTGGCATGTAGACCCGTTGTTAGGCAACGACCGCCAAAGAAGGAGCTATACAACAGACGTTACTGAGTAACGGCTTCGCAAACAAGGGTGTTTGCACGGCAGCAATTGGAAACAGGAACGGTGGTTTCTGTGCTGTTCCTGCCGAGATGTTATAAGCAGGACAGTTAGAGTAAATCAGTTGAGAGTCGACAGTTGGAGCAATGAGTTAGTTGTGAGACAGTCGCCAGCCTGTAAGAACGTGAGCACGGAAGCAAAGGACATTGTTGGGATCCGTCTCCCGGCAACGACTGGTGAAGACATAGCAAACTGGGAAGACTTTATGTGTGCTGTAGTTACAGTGATCTTAGGAGTATGTAACTCTGTGAGACTGTCATAGTTATTTATAGTTGCGTTCTGTAAGTGTTCAGTAAATTCGAATACCAACCCAATCCCCGTCTGTAGTCACTGTAAAATATTGGCCGTATTATAACAGCAGATTTATTTGCATGGATCTCAAATTGAACTTTAATCATTTTTTTCAAGAACGGTCATCGTATAGTGAGTTCGAGATCTACAACTTTTATATTAATCTGTTCTCAGTATTCTTTTTATTCATTTGTAGTTATGTTATGAAGAATGTCAGTATCTCGAACTGTATCGAACGATTAGATGGTAGTGAATACAGAATTGACAAGAATGTGGAAGGAGGGAAGTGTGGCCTAATTTAGGGTGTTATATAGGCATTCACGTGGAGGGAAGTAAAGAATCACTTAAACCTCAGGATTGTTGGTACTCTGTTGGAGATTCGAACCGGGTACCGTCCGAATGCAACTTAATAAAGAGTGTTACCGCTGAATCAAATTGTTCGGAGAGTAATAAGCAAAGGTAAGGTAAAGCTATCCCTGTAACAGGCCGCGAAGGGCCCATAGGGTTATGAGACGTTGAAGCTCCCATATCTTCTCTTGACACTCCGCTCACAGATGGCAGTAAGGTTGTCAGGCTTACGCGCTGGCCTCCATTTAACCCCCAGGAAGATTCATGGTACTCATTTCTGTTAACTAAGTCGACCCCATGGCCATAATTCGGCTGGAAGGATTACTTAATTGAAAAAAATCACCTCATCGGGACTCGAACCCGCGACATTCCGGCTTGTAGCATAGTGCCTCAACCAACTATGCTACCGCGTGTCCCCGTAATAAATAAAGAAAAAATGGAAATAGTTTTACATATATATCATGAATTTCGAACTAGAGATCTGGGCCATATTTGCGGTGTCGGTTTAATTGCAATGTTTCTGTGACTCCGTAACTACCTGTATTAAAAAGAAACTCGTCTAAATAAAGAAGCAGGTGCTTTTGTGTTACGTTACAAGAAGGTTTTACTGTAATTCGTACTTATTTTCCGAGGCTTAAGCTCTTCTAAATTTGATGCCTGAGGCTTAATGCTTCCAGTCACATTCCTTGCATTGAGAAGGTATAATACTGTATAAGGCCATATGGCTGCTACGGCCGTTACATGCTGCAGGCATAAGCTGCGACCTTGCAAGGGCTCGCAGGAAAGGACGTTGGATGCTGCATCCAGCCATACAGGCTGAACGCGGTGTCGGTGACATTGTAAGTTATTCAGTTATTTAACGATTATCTGTCAACTGCTATTGTTAAGCAGAGTCGCATGAAATGGCAGACATATTTTGAATGAAAAACCGGAAGGAAGTGGCCATTGCCTATTTTAAG